AATGTGGAGACAAAGAAAAAGGTCACAAATGACAGAAATGGAGGAAAGCAAATGACTGGATATAGAGTTCAAAACCACACTTTTAAGGTTTTTCAAGGATTTTCTAGAAACCGCCAATAAATTTAGTGAGACCCTCAAGAAATCTAGTGAGACCCTCGAGGTTATGAAAAAGGACCGACTAGAAATTAAGCATACACTGACTAAAATAAAGAATATTATACAAAGATCCAACAGCAGACTAGAGGATCTCAAGAATCAAGTCAAAGATTTGAAATACGAAGAAGCAAAAAACACCCAACTGGAAAAGCAAAATGAAAAAAGAATCCAAAAATATGAAGGTAGTGTAAGGATCCTCTGGGACAACTTTAAGCATACCAACATCCAAATTATGGGGGTGCCAGAGAAGAGAAAGAGCAAGATATTGAAAACCTATTTGAAGAAATAATGACAGAAAACTTCCCCTACCTGGTGAAAGAAATGGACTTACAGGTCCAAGAAGTGCAGAGAACCCCAAACAAAAGGAATCCAAAGAGGACCACACCAAGACACATCATAATTAAAATGCCAAGAGCAAAAGACAAAAAAAGCGGCAAGAGAAAAACAGTCAGTTACCTACAACGGAGTACCCATACGACTGTCAGCTGATTTCTCAACAGAAACTTTGCAGGCCAGAAGGGAGTGGCAAGAAATATTCAAAGTGATGAATACCAAGAACCTACAACCAAGATTACTTTACCCAGCAAAGCTATCATTCAGAATTGAAGATCAGATGAAGAGCTTCACAGATAAGGAAAAGCTAAAGGAGTTCATCACCACCAAACCAGTATTATATGAAATGCTGAAAGGTATCCTTTAAGAAGAGGAAGAAGAAGAAAAAGGTAAAGATACAAATTATGAACAACAAATACACATCTATCAACATGTGAATCTAAAAATCAAGTGAATAAATAATCTGATGAACAGAATAAACTGGTGAATATAATAGAATCAGGGGCATAGAAAGGGAGTGGACTGACTATTCTCAGCGGGGAAAGGGGTGTGGGGGGTGCGGGAAGAGACTGGACAAAAATTGTATACCTATGGATGAGGACAGTGGCGGGGGGGTAAGGGCAGAGGGTGGAGTGGGAACCAGGTGGAGGGGAGCTATGGGGGGAAAAAGAGGAACAACTGTAATAATCTGAACAATAAAGATTTAATTAAAAAAAGACCACCCTGCATATCAGATATTCACATTATGATTCATAACAGTAGCAATATTACAGTTATGAAGTAGCAACGAAAATAATTTTATGGTTGCGTCACAACATGAGGAACTGTATTTAAAGGGCCTGAAGGTTGAGAACCACTGCCTTAAAGGCTAACCCTGGCTGGCTTGGATTACACTATGAAGTAACTGATTTCACTCTATCAGTGGATAGAGTGTCGATCTGCGGATTGAAGGGTCGTGGGTTCAATTCCAGTCAGGGGCATATGCCTGGGTTGAAGGCTCGATCCCCAAAGAATATCCGTCCCAGCCGGTTTGGCTTAGTGGAGGGAGCGTTGGCCTGCGGACTGAAGTGTCCCGGGTTTGATTCTGGTCAGGGGCACATGCCTGGGTTTCGGGCTCAGTCCCCAGTAGGGGGAGTGCAGGAGGCGGCCAATCAGTGATTCTCTCTCATCATTTATGTTTCTTTTTAAAAAATATATATTTTTTATTGATTTTAGAGAGGAAAGGAGAGAGAGACAGAAACATCAATGATGAGAGAGAGTCATTGATCAGCTACCACCTGCACGGGCCCCACTGGGGATCGAGCCCACAACCCAGGCATGTGCTCTTGACTGGAATCGAACCTGGGACCCTCCAGTCCATAGGCCAATGCTCTATCCACTGAGCCAAACCAGCCAGGGCTCATCATTGATATTTCTATCTCTCTCCCTCTCTCTTCCTCTCTGAAATTAATAAAAAATATACTTAAAAAAAGAATATCCTACTCCTCAAAAGCAACAAAATTTTTTTTTTAAATATATTTTATTGATTTTTTACAGAGAGGAAGGGAGAGAGATAGAGAGTTAGAAACATCGATCAGCTGCCTCCTGCACATCTCCTACTGGGGATGTGCCCGCAACCCAGGCACATGCCCCTGACCGGAATCGAACCCGGGACCCCTCAGTCCGCAGCTGATGCTCTATCCACTGAGCCAAACCGGTTTCGGCAAAAGCAACAAAATTTAAAAACAAAAAAAGAATAAAGAAAAAAATAATATATCCTATATAATAGAGGTGATATGCAAATTGACCATCACTCCAACACACAAGTTGGCTGCCCCATGTGGACACAAGATGGCCAGCAGTGAGGGCAGTTGGGAGGGGACAAGGCCTGCAGGGGAGGACAGTTGGGGGGACCAGGCCTGCAGGGGAGGGCAGTTGGGGGGGATTCAGGCCTGCAGAGGAGGGCAGTTGGGGGGGACCAGGCCTGCAGGGGAGGGCTGTTCGGGGCAACCAGGCTGGCAAGGGAGGGCAGTTAGGGGTGACCGGGCCGGCAGGGGAGGACAGTTAAGGGCAATTGGGCTGGCAGGGGAGCAGTTAGGCGTCGATCAGGCTGGCAGGGGAGTGGTTAGGGGGTGATCAGGCTGGCAGGCAGAAGCGGTTAGGGGCAATCAGGCAGGCAGGCAGGCGAGCAGTTGGGAGCCAGCAGTCCTGGATTGTGAGAGGGATGGGATGTCCCAGATTGGAGAGGGTGCAGGCTGGGCTGAGGGACACACACACACACACACACACACACACACCGTGCACGAATTTCATGCACCGGGCCTCTAGTATATTTTTTTTAAAAGACCTTAAAGGCCAGGTTAACGAGGTCTTTTTGAGGGGTTTGTGGACCTGTGTCTATTTTTTGAAGTTCGTGATGTGTTGGGAGCTGATTGGGATATAAAATGGGTGTTCAGAAGAAGGGTTCCCTCTGGAGAGGTATGGTCTGAGGTAGTAAATTTCTGTAAGGCTTCCATGAGGCAGAAGAGGAAGAGAGCTGGGTTTTAATCAGGGCCTTGAATGATTTTATTGTTTGTCATAGTTGACTGCCTTATGGGCAGCCTTTTTGTTTAGAATGAAGAAAGGGGGGTGGGGTGGAGGAGGCAGGCCCTGCACCCTTGCCAGCCACTTGGATTCAAAAGTGCCACATTCTTTCCTTACAAGGGGAGGGGCAGTATTCCTCCCTGTAGTTTCTAAAAGGCATGACTAAAAGTAAGATTCTCAAGCCTGCAGTTGAAGGGGTAGAATGAAAGGGTAGTGTTAGGGATGTCAATTCACCCCAGTGATTAAACAGGTTTGGAAGAGGCCTTGGTGAGAGAATATGCAGCCCCATATTTAAGAAAAATTTACTTCTTACCCGTCACACCCTTGGCTCCATCCCTTTAATGGTGATGCTCTTAGAGAGGGCTGACTGGAGTGTTGGGCCCCATCAGCTTAAGGCCATTGTGTGGGTAGGTTCTGGCCCTGGGGACCTTTCTGCCCAGGGACAGTCCCTCTTCCAGTGGCTAAACTTGTAGCAGAGGGGGCACAGCCCTGAGGTGACATATGGCTTAAAACTGAGTCATTTGGCCCTAATCGATTTGGCTCAGTGGATACAGTGTGGGCCTGCAGACTGAAGGGTCCCAAGTTCGATTCCAGTCAAGGGCATGTACCTTGGTTGCGGGTATATCCCCAGTAGGGGGTGTGCAGGAGGCAGCTGATCAATGTTTCTGACTGTATCCCTCTCCCTTCCTCTCTGTAAAAAAATCAATAAAATATATATTTTTTTTAAAAACTGAGTCATTTGTTTTTATGGGATGGCTTTCTTGCTTTTCCTCTGCCCTAAGGTGTTAAAAACACTGAAAGTTACTTGTTAATTGCTCAGTGGGGGGGGTCTAAGGTCCTAAGGCTTGTTTTGGTAATTTTTTCTAATGCCCGAGGCTGTTTATTGGATAAGAAGTATCCCCCAAATTCTTGGCCCTTAACAGACCCAAATAATTTTTAAAAAAATATATTTTTATTGATTTCAGAGAGAGGAAGGGAGAGGGAGAGAGAGATTGGAAACATCAATGATGAGAATCATTGATTGGCTGCCTCCTGCACACCCCCTACTGGGGATTGAGCCTGCAACCTGGGCATGTGCCCTTTACTAGAATCGAACCTGGGACCCTTCAGTCCGCAGGCCGACGCTCTATCCATTGAGCCAAACCGGATAGGGCCCAAATAATTTCTTTAATATGTATTTTATGTATTACTTTCCTTAGAGATAACATGCTATGGTTTGGGTAATAATGAGTTCCACTCTTGGTAGTGGCAGGACTGTCAGGCAAGTGCCTACAGTTCTGCAAACAAGTGTCTGCAGTCTTATAGCAAAGAAAGGGTTAAACAGCTGCTGCTCCCTGGGAAAGAGGTGGGTGGAGGATGGAGGAAAGCAGCTGTTCTGCCTTTGTGAGAGGCAGGCAGTTTGATGGGGCTGTGAGGAAAGTTTTCCTTAAATCCCTATCTTGGTAAAAGGGCTATAAGTATTAGTAAAACAGTTAATTGGAGAACAGTGCTACAATTTAGAGATTCATTTACAGGCTAGACTTCCCTGTCCCCGAGTTGATATTGGGGAAGAAAATCAATCTCTCTTTTTAAAGTTTGAGGGTCAGATTTTTCTAATTACTTAAGAGACAAACTTTGTGGTTTTCTATTTGAAAGAGAAGAGAGGAGATTATAGGAGAGAATGGTACTATAGTTAAGAGAGGAGCAGTAGGTTCTTGGGACCAAATGTCAGCTTGGTCAAAGAGTTCCTCAGGAAGGGACTACACGCAGGAAGGTTTAGAATGAAGAAGAATTTGGTAAGTGATGCAGTCCTGACAGAGAGAAGGGCGACTGTGGAGAAGGAAGAAAGCCTGGACGTAGTGTTAGGGGCAGAAATATAATACTGTATTGGGGACTAGCTATTAGTTATGAGAAATAAAATAAGAAATATTAATCATGCTGTTAACCATGATGATTTTGTTCTGATGAAGGAAAGCACATTCTTACCTGGCTGGGAGTTGTACGCCCTGGGACACAGGAGCTAACATCGGAATGCAGTCCATCCTCTTGTCTCAAGAACTGCCTATCATTATGGAAAGATTTACAACCTCATGGCTGAAACAATCTAGTCCCAGAGGCACCAGCTCTTTACAACCCCAGCTCCTATAGCCTGTAATCCAGTCCAGGGGTACCCAGAGGTACCCGCCCTCTGCCACCCCCCAGTCCGCATGATTTGTAACCTGTAATGATTGTCCCGTGCCTACTTTCTCATGCCTGTAATTCCTACTTTCCCATGTAATCTTTGTCCTTCTACCTAATATCAGTGGCTGGCTTATGGGGAGAGGCAGAGCAGATTTTTGTGGATGACCTACTGCTCTCCCATACTGCCAACATTATTGGAATAAACACTCCTATATGATTCAACCCTGTCTCCTAATTGGCTTAATTGGTTCAGGTAGTAACAGGCAGCCTGGACCCATTGGTTGTCTGGTTTCAGTAGAGGATCTCTGACCCTTTCCCATTGCAGTAACAGAAATTGTTTAAGTCCCGGAGAATATTAAAATCTAAAGTTCCATGCTCTGGCCAGTGTGAATCATTGTCTAATTTATATTGTGGATAAGGCACTTTGGCCGGACCTCCGTAGAAAGGACGAAGGAGACATCCCAGAGGCATGTTTTTTTCGGGGGTGGGGGGGCAGAAAAAGAATTCCCCATGGTGTAAATTAGAAAGAGGAGGTAAGGAACAAAGGGAGACCTGCGAAGCTAGACTAGAGGGAGGGCGTCCCCACTGTCTTGTCAGGCTCTGGAGGGAGGACAGTCTAATCCACATGGCAGGCATCCCTTGGGAGGAGAAAGACTGTGGGACCTGTCCTAGGGTCGAGGCCGAACTGGAGAGGATTTCAGACCTAGCACTAGGTCTTTGTCTGAGATGGCAAATCAGAAATCTCTAAGGAAAGTAATACATAAAAATCATGTACCCAGCAAGAAAATGGAGGGATGATCCATTTGTCACTTACCAGAGATGAAATGAGCCAGTGTTGAGTGGGGGGTCAGCAATGGGAAGGAGAGGTCCTCCTTGGCTGGTTCAGGAGAGCCCATAAGGGAGGGAGGCCTAATCAAGGCCGAGATCATGAGTAGAATTGGGAGGTAAACCCAGATTGAGCTGCTGTTGCCTACTGCTCTCCAAGTAGCGAACTTCGGGTGACCGAAGCCCGGGTGATGACTCCCCCTCCCCATGGAACCCTCCCAGGTTTCGGCACCAAATGTTAGGGCTGCCAAAGTAATAGGAGTTATAATCTGATAGAGCACCTGAATTAATCTGAAAGATAATCATATTATTTAATTCTGAAATACATATTCATATAGGAATAGAGGGTTAAGTTTCTTATATGGAACAGAGGCTTAAGTTTTTTTTCTTTTCTAAGTTTCATTTCTCAGGCCGGTGCACTTGCATACTCCCTTTGATCTCGAACAAAGTGATTGGGGAGGTGATTCAGCTATGGACAATGTATACTGTACCCAACAAGCAAGCAGAACCATTACGCATTTTCAGGCCGACCCCACCAGGAGCCAAACCATCATCTCATTACCTGACAACCAACAACAACGGTTGACGTCTGCTGACGTCCAGGACTGCATGTAATCGCATTCTGTTCCCAACCTCAGCCCAGTCCATTTTTCCTATATAATCCTGTCCCCTGCACCTTGCTGTAATACAGGTTTTGGATGCCTGTAAGCTCCCTATCTTCTTGGTTGGCTGGCCTTCTCAATAAACGCCTTATATGATTCAACCCTGCCTTCGTTATTGGATATTGCGACAGGCAGCCAGAGCCCACCCGGGGGTTTCCTAGTAACAGAAGGAGGTACACATGAGGCTGAAAGGGGAAAAGAATTATAAATTTATTGTTACTTCTGCTAGCAGAGGGGCTGAGTCCAAAATCACATCAGCAGGCAGAGTAGAGGGAGCGGGATATTTATGTCTCTTATACAGGTCAGTCAGAGTAACAGGTCGGACCAGGTGCAGGTGGGGGCCAGATGTAGCTGGTCCACTGGAAACTGAAGGCCGTTAACCATGAAACCTATAATGAGGATAACAGGAAAATCGCCGGGAGGGGCAAGAGCCCCAAGCGGGGCAGTATGGAGCGCAAGAATGTGCCTAACAAAAAGTATCCTGTGGGGAGGATTAACAAAAAAGATGAAAAAGAAAATAAGGGAATCCCTTTCTGAGAGGGTGACTAAGACTTGGGCCAGGAAAGGTGCGACAAGAGGAGAAAAAGTGAAGAAATTGGGTGCAGGCCCCTGTGAAAGCCAGCATAGTAACTGTTGACTGTATTATATATAGTCAGCATGGTAACTGTTGACTGTAATATATATTGTTTTTATTTAAACATATTTTTTAAAAATATATTTTAATGATTTTTTACAGAGAGGAAGGGAGAGAGATAGAGAGTTAGAAACATCGATCAGCTGCCTCCTGCACACCCCCTACTGGGGATGTGCCCGCAACCAAGGTACATGCCCTTGACCAGAATCGAACCTGGGACCCTTCAGTCCGCAGGCTGACGCTCTATCCACCGAGCTAAACCGGCTAGAGCTTAAACATATTTTTATTGATTTCAGAGAGGAAGGGAGAAGAAGAGAGAGATAGAAACATCAATGATGAGAATCATTGATTGGCTGCCTCCTGCACGCCCCCTACTGGGGATAGAACCTGCATCCCTGGCATGTACCCTTGACCGGAATGGAACCTGGGACCCTTCAGTCTGCAGGCCAACGCTCTATCCACTGGGCCAAACTGGCTAGGGCTATGTAGTCGTTTTTATACAGCTAATACTGAGGAAGCATTTACCTATGTGCCTGGCTCTGAATTTAAGCACTTTACATTTATTAGCTCATTTAATGCTCACACAATCACTTGGGGTCGATACTATTATTGGCCCCAATTTACAGAAATGAAGCTGAAACCCAAAGAGGAATAGTTACTATTCCGCCTGCCAGCTGCTGAGTGAGAGCTGGGGTTTGACCTAAGTAGGCTGTCCAGTTTCAGAATCTGTGCTCTTCTTTACTAAGGTTACAACACCTCTTAGCCTAGTGAATTATCCCAAGTCTGTAAATTGGTACAGGAATCAACTTAAGTGGACCATCAGCTTGTTTGAGTTGGTAATTTAGCCCTGCTACAGGGCAAAGGTTGCATTCAGCCAAAGTTTGTGTTTAGCTCGGGGATCAAGTTTCTGATCAGCAGGAATCAAAGAAGGGATTACTTCAGACCTACAAAGCCCTTTTGTTCCAGTGCCTCCTACTCACGTGTCTCCCCTCCGTTCCTTAGTACCAGCACCACCCTGCAGATTTAGTGGTTTGTTCTCTCTCCCCCACTACCAGCAGTCTTACTCATAATTAAATATAACAGCCAAAAGTGGATAAAAAGGCAACGTTTGGTAATTATGTTTGTCTGCCTTCAACTCTCTAGCAAGGACTATGTCCAATTCATGAATGTGTTCCCAGCATCAGGCCTGCCATACAACAGAGGCTCAAAAAATGTAGGGAGGGTTGGACATTCACTGTCTTCCATCTGCACTGACCTGAGGATTAAAAGGAGGGTGGTGGAGGGTGCAAATTAGGCAAGGGCAGTTGTCAGCGGGGGCGGGAGGATTTAATGGGTCTGGTGGAAGGAAATCCCACCTGTTCCTGTTGCTTCCCCTGAAGTTATGAATCTGGTAATAGGCAGAGGTCAATGCGTCAATGCTGGGCCCACCAAAATCCATGGTTCCTTTATTTCTTTTTTTAAATATATTTTTATTGATTTCAGAGGGGAAGAGGGGGGAGAGAGAGAAACATCAATGATGAGAGAGAATCATTGATCAGCTGCCTCCTGCAACACCCCCCATGGGGGATCGAGCCCACGACCCTGGCATGTGCCCTAGACTGGAATCGAACCCGGGACCCTTCAGTCCATAGGTTGATGCTCTATCCACTGAGCCAACTGGCTAGGGCCCATGGTTCTTTTTCATGGTAGTGGCTGGGAGGTAGCTGCTCAGCACAGGAGTATGTTCCAAAGCCCACTTTGCATCTAGGGTGGCTGCACTGGCCGGCATGGCTCAGTGATTGAGCATCGACCTATGAACCAGGAGGTCACAGTTCAATTCCGTCAGGGCACATGCCTGGGTTGTAGGCTCGATCTCCAGTGTGGGGCGTGCAGGAGGCAGCCAATCAATGATTCTCACCCATTATTGATGTTCCTATTTCTCTCCCTCTCTGAAATCAATAAAAATTTGTGTGTGTTTTTTTTAAATATGAGCAGAAGTGAAATGTGTACAACAGGTTATTAAAGAATATGGTGAACTTCCTCCACACTGTCCTCTCCTATTTGCTAGCTGGCAGCAGATAATTTTTAGCCCATGGAAATGATGGAGCCACAAGATGGAGACTGGGTATATGAATCCCCACATGGAGGTTGCTGCCAATCAACCAGAATCCCTGTATTAGACTGTGGGGGAGGGGGTATTTGTTATAGCAGCTGGTATTACCACAACACACTGACCCTTCCTTTTTGGGCCCCCTGATACTGTTAAAGCTTAAGCACCAGGTCATTCTGTAAAGTGAGTCTCTAATCCCTAACTGTGGTCAACTTTCACATAGCAGGTATAGGTTTTGGGGGATGAAAAGGGGCCACATACTAAACCTGACAAACTCAGGGAAGGCCTGCATAGTGGCTTTGATGTTGTAGGCAGTTAGACAGACATGAGCAGAGCAAGGACGAGGGTGGAAAGCCCCAGATACCTAGCAAAGGACAACTGTAGGGTGGAACCTTGCCCCCAGAGTGACTGTTCCTCCCCTAGCATATCAGTTTGGACCCCGACCTTTCCTCCTTAGAGATAATATCTATGCCTCAGTTGTATTTCAGCTCCAGGCCCAAATAAGCAACACCAGCCAAGGCTGACATAAGAACCAGCTTCATTGAAGGACCAGCTGCACTGAATAATGACCCCCCTGGTGCTGGCCATTTAACCAGTGGAGACCACAACCCAGAAAGGACACACCAGGAAAACTGCTGAATATTCTATTGAGATCTTCCCCTGGGACCGTGGTCGGCAAACTGCGGCTCGCGAGCCACACGAGGCTCTTTGGCCCCTTGAGTGAGGCTCTTCCTAAGCCTTAGGAGTACCCTAATTAAGTTAATAACAATGTACCTACCTATATAGTTTAAGTTTAAAAAATTTGGCTCTCAAAAGAAACTTCAATCGTTGTACTGTTGATATTTGGCTCTGTTGACTAATGAGTTTGCCGACCACTGCCTGGGACCTCTCCTAAAATCTCCACCCTTAAAACCCTTAGGACTGAGGGGCCAGTTTGCTTTCCCTCCCGGAAATAACTTGTTTCCTAAGCCCATTTCTTCTAGGAATTGCTTCTTCTATCTCTGTGATTTACCAAATAAATGTTCTCTTACAGTTTGGGTCTTGGCTCTGAATTCTTTCCTAGCCAGAACCCAAGTACTGAGGTTGCTGAACCCAGACTTGGTCTGACCCTGCCAATCGGACACCTGGTGCCATTTCCGTCGCTTATAACTGAGACCTAAAGTAACCACATAGGATGGTCTGAAATTAAAACTTAACTGAAAGCAGTTCATGGCAGGCAGTAGAATCTTCCCTGACAAGTCAATCTTTATCTTTTTTTTTTTTTTAAATATATTTTATTGATTTTTTACAGAGAGGAAGGGAGAGAGATAGAGAGTTAGAAACATCGATGAGAGAGAAACATCGACCAGCTGCCTCCTGCACATCTCCCACTGGGGATGTGCCCGCAACCCAGGTACATGCCCTTGACCAGAATCGAACCTGGGACCTTTCAGTCCGCAGGCCGACGCTCTATCCACTGAGCCAAACCGGTTTCGGCAATCTTTATCTTAATTGAGCTTGTTTATTATCTTTTTGCATGTAGGTTAACATACCTTTAGAACAGTGGTTCTCAACCTTGGCTGCACATTAGAATCACCTGGGAATCTTTTTAAAATCCTGATTTCTGGGCCTCATCCTCCAGAAAGTAACAGAATTTCTGGAGGATGAGGCCCAGAAATCAGGATTTTAAAAAGATTCCCAGGTGATTCTAATGTGCAGCCAAGGTTGAGAACCACTGATCTATGTAAAAGAAGTTTGTGTCTATGATTTTACTTTGTAACCAATCTCAGAGGTTTCCCCAACCCTTTGCTTTCTTCCACTTCCTAATCTATCACCAATGGATTTCATGTAACCCACTTATACTTTTTAAATATATATTTTTTACTGATTTCAGAGAGGGAGAGGAAGAGAAAGATAGAAACATCAATGATGAGAGAGAATCAATGATCAGCTGCCTCCTGCACACTTACTGAGGATCGAGCCCGAAACCTGGGCATGTGCCCTTGACTGGAATTGAACCCGGGACACTTCAGTCCTCAGGCCGACGCTCTATCCACTTAGTCAAACCAGCTAGGGCTATGCCTCCTCTTTTAATTGTAATATATAAAACTAGTAGCCCGGTGCACGAATTTCGTGCACTGGGGTAGGGGGGAAAGGGGCCCCTCAGTCTGGCCTTCACCCTCTCCAATCTGAGACCCCTCAGGGAATGTCCAACTACCTGTTTGTGCCCACACTTTTAACAGATAACAGCTCCATTGTTGTTTCTTTCTTATGCTTAAAACCATTGGAATTAGTAGGTATTCAAAGTGTGTATACATTTTGGGGGGACACCCTGTATATCTCTAGTCAGCAGTGAAAGAAACCAACAGCAGATTTGGAATCCCCAGACAGGGAACCTC